AGTCAGGATTGCTCAGTACGTGGAAGACGTGAAGAACCACAGCATCATCCTTTCTGCCCCAAACCCAGAAGGAAAAATAAAAGAAGAGCTAGAATACCTGACAAAGAGATCAAGAAAACCGCTAACCGGATCTGAGGCAAGCTGAAGGCTATTGAGCAGAGTTGTGATTAGGACTAGAGTGGGAACCGAACTTCCGTGGACCTGCAGATATGACAGATCCAGCACTTGGTACAGTCAGGCAAGTTTGTGGAGGTCATGAAGGAGTACAATGAAGCTCAGATCCTGTTTCGGGAGCGAAGCAAAGGCCAAATCCAGCGCCAGCTAGAGATCACGGGAAGGACCACCACTGACGATGAGCTGGTGGAGATGCTGGAGAGCAGGAAGCCGTCCATCTTCCTCTTGGATATTATATCATATTCACAAATCACTAGGCAAGCTCTCAACGAGATCGAGTCACGTCACAAAGACATCCTAAAGCTGGAGACCAGCATCCGAGAGCTGTGCGAGATGTTCACGGATATGGCCATGTTTGTGGAGACCCAGGGTGAAATGCTCAACTACATCAAGAGAAACGTGATGAATGCTGTAGACTAAGTTGAACATCCCAAGGAAGAAACCAAGAAAGCCATCAAATATCAGAGTAAAGCCCGGTAGAAAAAGTGGATAACTGCTGCTGTGGTGGTGGCTGTCATCACTGTTTTGTCTCTAATCATTGGCTTATCGGTTGGCAAATGACTGCTTAGATGACACTGGGTGCTTGCCTCTCCCTCGGGGTGGCAAAGGTGATGTTTGTCCTCATTTGTGTAGTTACTTTGCTTGTGATCCTTGGAATTATCCTAGCAACAGCATTGTCGTAGCTACTGCACCCCAGGAGCTCTTTGTCCTCAGAGACTCCAGCCACACCTGCAGCAGAGTCCTGTCCTGTCCTTGGCTCGGGCCAAGTGCTGAGGTTTTTATTGGTGACGAAGAATAAAGCGCCACAGAGGTTTCATACCATGAAAACACCATGAGTGGACGCAGCATGTCAGCCCAGATAGACTTGGTCTCTGAAGGACACCGCAGAGATTTCACAATGGTGGCCTTGTCTCAGTAGCGTTGAAATATTGAAAGAGGAATGATTGAAAAAATCCTAAAGAAAGATGTCAGTGTTACAGATTTGTGTGCAGTTTAATTAGGGTGTGCTCTGTGCTCTCACTGACAGTGATAATGAGGAGCCTTCGCACCCGGACTGACTTCTGTTCATATCTTGCTTGCAGAATCATCACAGAACTGTTTTGTAAGGTATCTGTAATTTTAAATATCTATAAATTAAATTCCTTAATATATTAACCTCCAAACCCCCTTTTCTAAGCTAGACACTGCCTTGAGAAGGACAATGGGCAGGCCCTAGGCAGCCATGTACAGGTTGCTATTGTCACTGAGAACATGGTCTCGAAGCCCTCAGGGCCTTTTGTCAGTGCTTTCTGGTGACCCTGACCTAGGAAGTGTAAGGGTCGGAGAAGTCTTGTCGTTAGCTCATTTCTACCAACTTCATGCGATGCGCTTTACTCACGTGGCCCTCCTCCCTTTTCACTGGTGCTAGTGGAGTTTCAAGGCAAGTCGATGACAGAACCAAGACTTGGTGCTCACTAATCTCAAGGGAATAGTCCCGGCTGTAAAGCCATTCTTGGGCAGCATCCGAAGGACCAGATGCTCGCCTGAACCCCCACCAATGTCCAGAGTTCCTAAGAAACTGATGGATGGTATGAAGATGTGGGCTGTGTGGCCCAGTGACTGCGTATCTGATTGCTGATACGCTGACTGAATATGCGAAGGACACCAAAGCCTAGTGAACTGCGCCGACTGCTGACCGTGCGCATGGATGCACACTCTGTCCCAGCCTCACTTGGTTGGATCTGATGGAGCCACACGGATTCGGAACACCAATCGTGAGAGATACCGAATTGTTTAGAAAGCACCACCTTTACAGCGGTGAGTCACTCACTCTCCTCCTCACACCTCCCAGCCTCACACCCCATGTGCTCAGAGCAACTGCAGGAGGCTGGGCTATGTGTCCTGGTCCAGAGCTAGTCTGCAGTGGAGAGCTCTGCACATGGGGCTGTGTTTGTGCAGCTCCCTCCCTCTTTGCTCCAGTGCCATCAGACTTAGCTGCAGTGACCTGCATGCCACCGAGGTTCCCACCACTCATGGCCAGGGCTCCAAGTCCAGCCTGAGTCCTTGGCCCGCAATGTGCTCCTATGTGCTCAGGTGGCCTCTTGACCAAGCAGGTGCCTGAATCTGGCTTTCTAGTGAAGCAGGGGTGTGTGGGTGAGTGAGTCAGCCCTCAGGATATATTTCTATGCTGACTTCATAGCCTGTTTAAAAATACATTTACAGATTGTCTTGTTACTTTTTCCAATGATTTCTTCAAAAATTTTTTGTTTACATTAAAAAATTCTCAGAGAAGCAAAAAAAAAACTTCAATTTGAACCCTTTGCGTCTTCATGCATTAGTCATTTATCAGTAGCAACACAGAACATTTGTTATTTCTGTGTTTCATAATTTAGGAGGCATATGAAAAGTTTGTATTATTTACAAAGGGGCCTCTCTAAATGTAAGATACATGCATAAATGTCATAATCTGTATTTTACTTCTTCGTGTTTTTCCTCTTGAACAGTGAGTCACTATCAATATTTTGACCCAGATAATTCTTTGCCATGAAAGACTCTCCTGTACATTCTAGCACATTTTAGTAGCCTCTCTGGCCTATATTCACTAGGTCCTCCATCAGTTTGACAATTAAGAAATACCACTTATATAGTCAGGGAGGCAAACAGGAACCTGATTGACAGATATCCTTGAGTGTTAGCAGCATGGAGACAGATTTTTATAAACTGTTTTCTTTAGTCAGGCACATTTGCATACACCTGTAATCCCAGCACATTTAAGAGGTGGAGGAAAGAAGAGCTAGAGTTCAAATCTAGCTACACAGAAACTTTGAGGCCAGCCTGGGCTAAATGAAGTGCTGTTTCAAACAATTTATGAAAACTCATTTGTTTTACTACTAGTAAATCCCAAGCCCTAACAGAACAAATGACCTGGAGTACGAGTTAGCAGATATTAATAATTACAGAGATGAGTATGTTTTAGACCTATGGCTAATTAGAGTAGTGTGGCTTAAAAATGCCCTTGGAATGAAGAAACCTGCTTTAGGTTTATCATTCTGCCACTAACCTCTTTAACACACACACAGATTGCATTTGCTCTACCTCCAACTTCTCCTAGACCCATTCCGTTCTTCCAGCTTAATGTCTTTTTTAAAAAAAACAGCCCATTGCCATATGGAGGTGGCACACACCTTTAACACCAGCACTCAGGAGGCAGAGGCATGCCTTGTCTACAGAGTGAGTTCCAGGACAGCTAAGGCTACACAGAGAAACCTTGTCTCATGGGGGGAAAAGCCCATCAATGGACTCCTGTTTGTGGTAATATACTCAAAGGTGTGGGACCTTTGCCAAGAACATGTTCAATCTACCAGGGTCCACGCCCTTAAAGAAATCTGACTCTTCTTTCTCCAGAACACAACTGACAATAGCTCTTCAGCTAGGATTTAGAGCTCAGGAGCCCTTCAACCCCTCCACGATGAAATGCTGACTGGTTTTAGGTCTTGCGCAGGCATCAACAGCTGCTATGAGTACATGAGGGCAACAGTGGGGCTTCTATGAATGCTTGAGGCAGCTGTGAATGCTCGTTTTCGGCTCTTTCTACTTTTCACACAGTAAAACCAAAGCCCAGGGTATGGTGCCACCCACAGTGGGTGGGTCTCCCTACCTCAATTAATCTAACCATGATATTTCCCACAGGCATACTCAGAGGCTCTCTTCCAATTGATTCTAGACCTCATCAAGTTGACAAATGAGATTAAACATCACACCAGCCTTATACAGAAATACCACATAATTACAGTATCACTTTGCGGAATGTATATCTGTAAGCTTAGATGGACACAGGGGCTGAGGTCCAAGTCATACTTTGATGATTCACCATGTTAGGATCATAATTATTTTGGACTCTAAGTATCAATGGTCAAGAAAAGTATCACATTTATATTTAAATATTATTTGAGCTGGGGAGATAGTATGGTAGTAGATCACTGCCTACTATGCTTAAGGCCCTGGGCTCTTATTTTATTACATTTTTTAGTTGTGTGTGTGCGTGCACATGTGTGTGCACGTGTGTGTGTGTGTGTGTGTGTGTGTGTGTGTGTGTGTGTGTGTGTACATACATGTAGAAGAGGTTAGATAAAACTTTTATGAGTCAGTTCTCTCTTTCTACTATGTAAGACCAGGGGTTGATCTCAGGTGGATCAGCCTTGTTGGCAAGTGCCTTTACCTGCTGAGCTTTCTCACACTCCCAAGGCCCTGGACTCTAGTCCTAGCACTGAAATAAATGAATGAATGAGTGAATAAATAAATAAATAAATAACAATGCTCAAACTCTTTATTATTCGTCATGTGTTTACAAAACCAATAAAAAAAGACACTACATTTAGAATTCTTACAAAAGTAAAAGAGTAAGTTTCATCTTGTTACACTATAAATTTCTATAAAATGTAAAAGTATAAAAGTTTACTATTTTAACAATTGTTAAAGTCACTCAGGGATTGATTTTTGTGGACAGAACTTTATCAGTTGTACAGGTTCCAGAGCTTAAGGACTACAGTAAATTACAGTTTTCTCTAACATTGAAAACATAACATATATTTCTAAAAATAGCTGTTTTCCTAAAATAACCCCATTTAAGCCAGCTTTCTTCTTGCTCATCTCCTTGTTCATTTATGCAAACAGCGCTAAACAGTTTTTCTTCCAATTGCTTAGTATCAACCGAATTTTGACATCAAAACCTACCGAATACCTACTTTAACAAAACCAGTCCAAAGTTCAACATTCTAAGAATATATTTATGCTCCTAAGTATAGTTCAGTGCAATTATCAGCAAACCCTTAATAGTAAATGACAGTTCAGTCTTCCTGTCTTCTGGGTCTATTGTTCACATTGTTCATTCTGGCACGTCTCAAAGTCCTCAGGATGGTGAATCTAGTGTGGAGGGACAGATTAGTCTGTGAAAGAGACAAAAAGCTTTAAGTTTGGGAGCTTAGCAGTTTAATAAAATACTCTTGAATTTGGTTATTAGACTAGGGAGCCAGTTGTGGTGGCACACACCTGTAATTCCAGCCCTTGGAGGCAGGAAGGCCAGAAATTCAAGGTCATCCTCAGCTACAATACTGAGTTAGAAGTCAGCCTAGGCTACTTGTGAGACAGATCGACAGAGAGAGAAAGAGAGAGACAAACGTAGGCATCTAGGACTGTTGGTACATGCCAACAGCTCCAGCAACATGGAAGGTGAATGCAGCAGGATTGGAAGTTTGAAGTCTGTTTGGGCTACATCGAGAGTTCAAGGTCAGCTTGGGCAATTTAGTGAGACCCTACCTTGAAATAAAAAAAATGCTTCCAGGCATAGTGACACATGATTTTGATCTTAGCACTCAGGAAAGTCAGAGCAAGCAGATTCCTATGTATTCAAGGCCAGCCAAATCTACATAGTGAGTTCCAGGCTAATCTGGTCTACGCAGTGAGACATTAGAGTAGTGAGAGGACACGGTATATGGTTCAATGATAGAGCTCTTTCCTCGTATGTGTGAAGCCCTGGTACCTCAATTCTCTGTACCAGAAAAATGTCAAAGGGCAAAGAAGCTGCTGTGGATATCACTCTGTATGCTGTGTATGTGTTGCTTTGATTAATAAATGAAGTGCTGATTGGCCAGTAGCCAGGCAGGAAGTATAAGTGGGATAAAGAGAGAGGAGAATTCTGGGAACAGGAAGGCTGAGTCAGGAGTTGCCAGCCAGACACAGAGGAAGCAAGATGTAAAAGTACCAGTAAGCCACAAACCACAAGATAAAGCATAGATTAATAGAAATGGGTTAATTTAAGATATAAGAACTAGATAGCAAGAAGCCTGCCACGGCCATACAGTTTATAAGTAATATAAGTCTCTGTGTATATACCTGGGTCTGAGCAGCTGCAGGAGCCAGGTAGACACAGGAAAACTCCAGCTACAAATGGCGCCCAATGGCTCGAGTTTCCACCTTAAACCTGGGAATACTTAATAACCAATTCTAAATGCAGCCAAAAACAGGTTCCTGCTTCATATCTCATGTGGTCGGCGAGATGCTGCAACATGCGTGCTTGAGCTACTCTATGGTGGGTTTGCAGCATGCAGACTAAAGCTACACCATGGCACATTCTTGCCAAGTTACACAGAGGTTTCTACAAGCTGCACAACATGGTGCACGGTGGATATAGCTTTTGCTACTAAAAGAAAAAAAACAGGTTTCTGGGCTACACACTGCTTTGATAAAAGCATAGACCAAGTGCTTCTGAGAGTTGATGGTACACATGGCTTCCAGACCCAGAGCTGGTGGTAAACATACCATCGCCATGTTGGGAAGCTGGGGTGGGCAGAAAATACTGCAGTTTAAAGCAATAGATTCACAACAAGACAGATTCAGATGGGATAAACCTCTAAATGGTTTATATTGTATGTAAAAATGTACATAGGCTTGGAAGAAAGACAAAGAAATATATGTAGTTATATAAAGAAATAGTTTTTAAAAATAAAGTCTTTAAAGAGAAAGTAAAAGTAATATAAAAAATAAGCCATGTAAAGATAGATATCACACAGAGAATCTAGATTGTGTTGTCTTTGGGATTTTTAACTGCAGAAAGACATTTGATTGTAAAAGCTGCTCAGTTAAACCAATATGTATATTTTAAAGGTACCTTAACTTCAAAATTTGGATATAAGGATATGTTGCTTTGGAAAGGAGGCTCTGCTTTTGTTTCTACAGAAAGCAACAGGCTATGGATTTGTTCCAGATTAAGATACGTCAGGTTTGACCAGCCAAGACCCCCTGAAAGGTCTCCGATGACACCATGGCCCAGATGATCCAACATCCAGAATGGTTTCAAGGCAACTGGCTCAGACAATACAGCCTCAGGGACTACTCCATAATCCTAAAATTTTCTTTATGTCCCCATAAGAATACAGCACCCCCATCCAGCAGGAAGTAGTATGAGAAGCTACGCCAAAATTCCCAAATACACCAAGTTGGCTTTGGAGATGGAATTGGCTCACTCCTTCTCTAAACCCAAGCATATTGCTAAAAAAACAAAAGGTTGAGATATTATTCTGTCCTATATCAGAAGAGCCCTCTGGTGTGGGACAGAGAAAAACCAATTATTTTTATTAAAGCAGGTTGATTATAAATGCAATCTCTTTCTAAAGAAGAAAAGGGGATAGCATACATATGATAGGATAAAAGGGTAGATTAATGAACCTATTTTTAAAGAGCAACAACTTGTTTGGAAATGTTTTACATTGCTATGGATTTTAGTTTATTGATACAATTTTAAACAATTTTGTTATACTGTATATATATTTCTACTCTCATTTGAGTTATTATGTTTATGTACCTCATCTAGATTATAATGATAATTAAAAAATACAGATTAATAATTAGTCTTCTATGATAGTCAAACTTATAGTCATGTTAAGTCTTCTAGGTATACATAGATACATTTCAGATAGATAGGTAATCTTCAAATACTTCAAAGACCTACAGAATATGGCATTTAAAATGTTTTAAAAATTTAGACTTTCTGGACAATGAGACATGTCTGTTCCTGGCAGCACTGATTTACTTCAGAGTGGAGGATGGACATCGAAAACACTCTATATGGAGTTTATCTTCTTCTTGGCAAAAATAGCCATTTGGGCAAGAAACTGTTCTTGCCTGGACTGCTTGATCGACTGGACATGCAGGACTCATAGGAAGGTGACCACTGAACTTTGCTTAGCAAAATGGTCCATTAGGTTCCTGCTTTGCAGAGAAAACTACCAGGCATTCTACAGGACACAGAGAAGTGACTGAGAGACTCAAGGCCTGTGGGCTAAAGACAGATGCCCCAACTTTATAGAGAAACTTTGGATGACTGTCCAGGCTGCCAGCTGTCTCTGTCTATTCTCACGAGACTCCTGAAAGTTGCTTGTGTCCTACCGTTTCTCAGGTGATATTATATCCTTCTGAGACCTTTGATGTAGTTGAAGACTAGATAGTTATAATCTCCTTAGTTATGGTAAAAGATAAGTTAGATATGAAACTTTATACTCACAAATATAGGACAAGATATCTTCTTTAATTTTGCCAAATACAAATAGAGTCGATATTGTAACTGTAATTTTTTCTTGATAATTGTTTTGTTATGCAATTTTACTATGTTCAAGTTAAAACTTTCCTTTTGAAAAAAAAAAGGGGAAGTGCTGTGGGTATCACTCTATATGCTGTGTATGTGTTGCTCTGATTGGTTAATAAATAAAGTGCTGATTGGCCAGTAGCCAGGCAGGAAGTATAGGCAGGACAGAGAGAGGAGAATTTTGGGAACAGGAAGGCTGAGTCAGGAGTTGCCAGCCAGACACAGAGGAAGCAAGATGTAAAAGTACTGGTAAGTCACAAGCCACATGGCAACTTATAGATTAATAGAAATGGGTTCATTTAAGATATAAGAACTAGATAGCAAGAAGCATGCCATGGCCATACAGTTTATAAGTAATATAAGTCTGTGTGGGTTTACCTGGGTCTGAGTGGCTGCAGGAGCTGGGTGTACACAGGAAAATTCCAGCTACAAGCAGCAGCCTGGGGTTGAGAAGACTCTGAGAGGGGTATGAAATCTATCTGTGTTTGAAGAATGTGCATGAGCTTTCCTTGAGACTAGAATCATGTGTAGTTTGTCTGATGCTTGGTCTACACCTGAGGTTTCTATTCAGACCATCCATGCTGAACAGCAGAATCAAAGAGCTTTAATGGAAGAGTATGGAAGAGCATACCACAGACCAAGTAGCAATACGTTTTCATAGCCAAATGAAGGGCAGGCTTATTTCTATATGCTAGAATTCAAATGTCTGCCTTATAGTCCAGGGTTTGAAATCTATTCTGTGAGAGCAGTCCTAGGTACAAGCAACTTCCTATTGTTCTTACTGGTCTACAGCTGACTACAGTACCTCAAATATTGCCAAGTCAGACGTAATTCCAGTTTCATCTTATATACATGGCCACAAAGTCCAAGTCTCTTTCCCCATTTTTCAGACATACTCCTTTCAATATTATCCCTAAACCTAATTCAGAAACAGGGTTATTATTGTTCTGAGATATAGTTTGTGTGTTTTCTGTTTTGCACTTATGAAACACACACACACACACACACACACACACACACACACACACACACACCCTTTTTCTTTTGTTTTTCTAAGATAGTCTTGATATGTAGTTCAGGATGTCCTTGATCTCTTGATTCCCACACTACCATGCTTTATTTATGAGTTACATACTTCTATGAATAATATAATCAGAACACAGATGGAATAATGTACTTTATTTCATCTCATTGCTAAGTGAAGAATGGCAGAAAATTATTTTAGTTTCAGTCCCTTATAAAAGTCTTTAGACATCTATTAGTTTTTTCTTTACTACATAGTCTGGTAAACATGGATGTTTCCTTTATGAGAATCGTAATGAGCCTTAATGCAGCTACAGGACTAAGTGTATAGGAGTGTGGGCTATTCCATGATATGACTGAGGTTTGTTTCAAAGTCTGGAAAGATGGCTCAGCAGTTAGGACCTGAACTTATTTCTCAGCATCCATATCAGGTGACTCACTAGTGCATGTAGCTCCAGCTCCAGAAGATCAGGCACCACTTATCTGCCCTACACACACACACACACACACACACACACACACACACACACACACACACACACACACACACATGTGCGGTGGGGGGTGGGGAGCAGGCAGACAGACAAGACATAAACACACATAAAAATAAATAACTGAGGTTGGCTTATTTAGCTATTTTCCCAACTTTTCTGTCTTTCCCAAAAGCAGGGGACAGGAAAGTATTTCTTGTGTATTAAGAGATTCACATTTTTCCTATATGTAAAAGATAATCTTATATATTTCAAGTTGACCTAAAATAAACATGGCTTTCTTAACATCTGGTGAGCAAACAATTGGGCAAGTCCATCATAAGTACCCGATTAGTCCGTGCTGCGACATTGAAGTTCAGTCTTACTCCTTTTGGAAAACGTGTAATAGTCTTAATTGTAGTGTATCTACCATTCAGGAATTCTGCATCAACTTCGGGTCTCCATAAACTGTCAATTAAAGCATAATAATAAGTAAGTAGATATAGTAGCCACTAATCAGATGAGCAAGTTTGGGGCCTTCAACTTAGTATCCGTAGATCTCATTTCTAGAGGTTTAAAAGAAGGATGTATGTGTTTTATCACTGAACTATACTCTTAACTGTAGGTATTATTAATTTCCTTCACATCTTTAGATGAGTTTTCACCTGCTAGATAAGAATCCAGTTTTATTCTTCTTTAATTATAGTATATTTGGAACAAAAATAACCACAAATTCCATAGGAAGAAAATGGATTTGTGATTGCCTTGGACTGACAAGGATGGGAGAACATGGGGGAAGGAATGGTCTGAATGAAGAATGACTCAAAGAGTATAAAATTTGGGGGAATGATGGTTAAAATGTTCTAAAATCAGACTATGACGAGGACTGCACATCTCTTAGTCAACTAAAAGGGAAAGAACTGTGTAGTTTAACTACATAATATAAAACCTGTAGCTCAGTAAAATTTTTAGAAGCTGTGCCTATAATCCTAGCACTCAGTAGGTAGAGGCAAAATAATCAGGAGTTCATGAACATCCTTGGCAACATGAGAATTTGTGGCCAGCCTTGGCTGTATGAGAGTGTCTCAAAAAATCCAAAGAAAGCAGCTGCTTGCTATCTGTACCACTAAGCCTACCTACCTGTGAGTCCCAACTTTAAAAGTGTAACATTCCCTTTCCCTGTTTCTATCACTTTCAGATAGTGGCTAAAATCCTAAGCCTGTTCAGACAGTCTGAATCCTACTCTTTCCCAAGAAGCTAATGAATATATGTGCTTTCTTGGACCTTATGTCCCAAGATACAGCTTCCTCTTTTCTTCATCTCCATCTCCCTCCTCCTCACAGCTGGCGAGATTTACAACTTGTCTGCCCTGTCACTGGGTCTTTTTTCTAACTCATAAAATGGTCCTTACATTTAAACAAAAATAAAAAAGTTACAAAAATATTAGCTGGAGGGCTAAGGTTGCAGAACAGTGTTGCAGAACACTTCATTAGCCTGTGTGAAGCCCCGAGTTCCATTCTCTGCACCATAAAAACCCCAAATGAAAAAGTGAATGAAAAGTCAAAGTGGTTGCACAAATCTAGAATCCCCCAAACCAGGAGATTGAAACAGGAGGATCTCAAGTTTAAGGGCAGCCTGTTTATATAAAAAAAAAATGGAAGCCACCCCATGGCATTAAGCCTTTGGTGTCTCCCACCCAAGAAAGAAAAATAATGGAAAACAATGTGGTAGCACATACCTAGAATCCCCCAAATCAAGAGTTTGAGGCAAGAGATCTTGAGTTTAAGGGCAGCCTGGTTATATAGAAGTTAATATGAAAGCCACCTTGGATTCCTGTGACATTTGTTGTACCATGTTGCAAAGGTATATTCCATAAAGTGCCTCATGGATGGCTGCTAGTGGATCAGGTTTATGTTTTCCCTTACAGTAGCTCTTTGTGTCAGTAAACATCACAGAAAAAAAGAAATTTTTTTGAGACAGCATCTCATGTATCCTAGGCTGACTTCAATTTCATTAGTTTAAGTTGACCTTGAACTTTGGAAACTCTTGCCTCTACCTCCTGAGTGTTGGGACTACAGACATCGGCCAATAAACCTGCATTATGCCCTTCTGCAGAATGAATCAAGACATGTTAGACAATGAATCATACATGTTAGACAAGTAGTCTACCAACTGGACTATACCCCCAGTCCAAGGAGAAATTTTTAATAGGCAGCTAAAGTAGTATCAGGGAAGAGGTTAATCATATGTACTTGCACTTTACCATAACACAACCAATGTCCAAAGGCTGTGTAGTTGTCTTGATATTATTACTTGAGAATTTATAGTCAGTAGTTCTATATAAACAAGGTGCTTTCTATAACAACTTTTTGTCTTGCTATATTGTTCCTATTAGGCTTTAAGTGGACCAAACACTGTTTTGGGGGGGAAAATTAGAGTTCAATGAATAATTAGATATATAATAGTTTCCTTCCTCCCTTCCTTTGTACATCTCTCTCTCCCTCCTTCTTTGCCTCCCTTCCTTCCTTTCACAGTGTTAGGCATCAAACTCATGGCTATATAATTCCAGGCAAGCACTCTACTGAGTCCTTCAATGTTAAGTTTCCTCATAAAATTATTGTTGCATTTTCTCTAGCTTTTCCCTTTTTTTTCCCTTTAACAACATGTACCTGGCTTACCTAATGCAATCATAGAACAAGGTAAAAAGTGGAAATCAGGATGATCAACAGTGAGAAGGATGTGATTTGGGTGGAAACGTGTGTGTGGGTTGTGTTGAAGATGGAACTGGTATCTTACAAGAGGGGAGTGAGGTAGTTCAGGTTTTGTTTTTGAAGAAAGGACTCTGGCTTACAAGCAGCAAGCAACTCGATTCTGCCAACCACTGGAATGATCTTGGAAGTAGGCACCTCTCCAGAACCTTCTAATAAGAGGGCACCCAGGGTAGTACCATGATTCCAGGTATGGGAATCTCTAGCAGACTAGCAAAGCTGGACATCTGACCTACCAAACTGGGAGGTGATGGACGGGTTTTGTTCTAAGTTGCTGTGTGTGGTACAGGTAGGCACATTTTGGGGCAAATTCCCAAGCATATGGAGTGGTGGTGGTGAAAAGGCTACTGATCTTTTGAATGACTTTTTAAATGTCCTCAGCTTTCAAATCTGTTTGTGGAGCTAACGTTTTAGCCGAAACTCTTAGAGAAACTTTTAGTATCTGACTCATTCAGTTCAGTTGACCTTACTTATTATTGTACTAAATTCTCCACCTAGGGGCAGTTGGCAGTGTTTTGTTTTGTTTTGTACCATATGATATTATGATCTCTGATTGAGCATGTTGTATAATGTGTTAGGCTCCAAAGCAGCAGTCCTGAGAATGTCCTTTTTGGAGGCCAAGAACATCAGAAGAGAGTTCTGCTTCCTGGTTTCTTATTTCCTCTTAGTCTTGAATGGAAGCTCTGGAGGAGGGAGTGACTGAGACAGAGAGGAGGTGCCTAGACATTTCCTATTGGATGATACACTGGACTGATCAGCCTATTTCCTTCCTTATACCTCACACCAGTTTCTGTTCTACGTTCTTAAAAATATTCCCAGAGTAGCACCTTGACAGTCCCTGTCCCTGGAGATGTGCTCTTCCTCTACAGGAATTATGCCTTCTTTCTTTTAAGCTGGCTCTAACAAAATACTTCTTCCTAAAACTTGCTCTCTGTGGCCCATGAACTTCACTCTTCAAATTTATAAGACAAGAACTAGAAAGCCATTGGCTTTGGTGGCTCTTGAGTTTACCAAGACTCTAGCCCTCCAAAGCTAAGCTCACCAAGAACTGAGAAAGGTTCCACACTCTTGAAGACAGCCCACTACTTCCCACACCACCTTCTTGTTCAAGTAATAAACCTCTTTCCACTCTTGTTCCCTGGTTGTGGTTATCCTTTTCCTACTCACCAAGATTGAATCCGCTGCCTACAGCCATAGTAATTGTCTAAACAATGAAAGAAGGTGAATGTTCTAGCACTGTAAGAATTAAACCTCCTTTGTACTTGTAGTTGTGGAAAGGCAATCTGTATCATCCTGGCTGTCCTGCAACTCACTCTGTAGACCAGGCTGGCCTTGAATTAACAGAGATCCACTTGCCTCTGCCTCCCTAGTTTTGGAATTATAGGTGTATGCCACCACTGCCCAGTCCCATAGGTTTTGTAGAAATACAAACTGTATTTGAATGTACCTTCACACTTTTTATTAGTTGTATGATTTGGGGAAGTTAAAAAACAAAACAAAACAAAAACCATCTTCTTTGGCTGGAGTGGAGCTCCATGGCACACTGGTAAATCTTTTTAGTTTGTGTGTGCACATGATCTTAGGTTTGATCCCCAGTAGTGCCAGAAAAATCAACCATCAGTCCTCCTTCAGTTTGAATCTATCATTCTGTAATATGGAAATGCTAATACCTTACCAGAAAGGAATTTTAGGGCTAAATTAAATTATGGATATAAAAGTACTTACTTACAGCTTTCAATTATTTCATAAGTTACCTAGGTTATGTCCATTTCAAAGGTAGTATGGCAACATTTTTCTCCTTCCATTTGCATAAATTCTCCTAGTATCACTCAATGAGTTTTAGACAGCCACCCCCAATACCACTTCAAGAGGCCAACTCCTAAACTCCACTGAAAGAGGCCAAAATATACTATCCATAATTAGCCTCTTTTCTGTAACCACTAATGCTGAGCTAATCCTTTTGAGAAACACAAGACACATGGGCAGCTGTGGAAACCAAATGAAAAAGTAAAAGTCACCCTTTTATGAGAGAAACGTACATCTCCAAAGGTAATCTCCATTTATAAGGGTTTCCCTTTCTTACCCTACAAAGAGAAGGATAAGCAACAAATGCAGCTCTTGTTTTCCACTCTTTTCCTGACCATCTTCCTGAGCAGACCTTCCCCCAGATCTTTGTTTCAGGGAGGATGATATTTAAGTACAAAAATCTAATAGACCATGTTCAAGTCTGCTCTTGTGGTAGGAACCCTCACTACCTCCCACCTGTATAGCAAGTAGTCATGGCCAGAAACTTCTTTTTCTTATGTTTGTATTTCAACCTGTTTTTGTTACAGAGGTCCATAGCAACAAAGATCTAAGACGGCATAATGGAACATAGAATTCTTGCCTCCCTGATCCCATCACAGGCTAAGTTTTGCTACGATTGCTGCTAAAAATGGGATGTTGAGATTCATCTAGCTTGTCTAGCATACCCTGTTATTACACACCAGTTTCCAATTTTAAAACTGAAATGATCAAACAATCTTAATCATTCTGATTTCTCCAGTGATAATTCCTGTAGAGAGAGACAGCTAGTTTAGATGCAAAATTATGATACTGAACATATATCAACAGAATATGATATAGACAAGTCTCAGAAGTAAAAATAAAACCAAGCCAGGAAGATTTAATTAAAGCTTTTCTGATTCTGACTAGGATTATTTACACAAAGTGTTAGTTTTCAAAGTCAGGTTGTAAGGCTCTGGCCTGGATGCTATAGTCAATGCCAGTTTTCATATTTTCCTCTTAAGATTGTCCAAAGTTTGTCTCACCTGTCAGAACTTTCATCACTTTCTTCAGAGCTGCTGTAGCCTTCTTCTATCATCTAAATGGACAAAGTTGAAACAAATTATTGAAACGATAGCCTTACTCAGCACAAGGTGTTTTGTTTTTTAGTCTAAATTGCAACTTTTAGCATTTACATGACAATATTCCCTTTGCTTAGCTCTGGCCTTGGCCATCTTGTAAAGTCTCCCCATCTTGGTTAACCATGACAATCACCAAACTAAAGTGACTAAACTCCTAGAACTAAAGTAAATTCCTTCCCTAGATTCTTGCCTACCCTATGCTTTCCACCCCCCCCCCCCCAGTAATGGCTAGCCAAGTGATATTGATCCTCTGACATTGTTTAACTGAACACTGACTGCTAACTCTTAGCTATGATCACCATCAGGCCAAAAGGAAAGTTTTCCCACTCTGGAAGTACTAAGAGCATCACAGGCTCTTTCGTTTCTTGAACTAGAGATCTCCCTATTACATGTCTTCCCAAATATAGCCTGTGCTGTTATGTAGTCACTCAGTCCCTTGTCTGTCTTTCATTCTTGCTGACCTTACAAGTGTCACACCCAATTTCTGATATTGCACAGAGATTCAATACTGTCAAAGGCAGTGTGCCCTTAGGGATAAATCAGTCTAAGCCTTCTTTATATGTTGTAAAACTGAAGTTGAGAAGAATCAAGTGACTTCCCCAAGGCTTTAGAGTAGTGATCCAGAGAAATTCTCTTAGATCTTGATGTGCCCTGGGTTCAAACATTATCTATCTGAAGCCTGGGTAGTATCAGAGTTACAAGAAAAAGCCACATAGGACTGTCTCAAAATCTGTATATTCGACAAATTTGAGACATTGATGGTCTTTGTAACAACTAACTAAGGTGGAAAACTGTGCTACATCAGTCATTTCATTTTATGAAGTATCATTTCTATACCAATTTGGAGTTTTCAGATTTTTGATAAAAATTAGATGCTTTAAAACCACCAACTTATCTCTCCTGTTCTTACAATTACTTTGTAAGTGATGATATGTTATATTTATGTGTAGTCAGTTGAACAGAATAAAGCATAAATAACCACTTCATAGAAATGTTAACTGGCCCTGATCAACCCACCACAAAATAGACTGTCTAACAGAGGTCCTAGTCAGTGGTAGCGGTGGCAGTGGGGGAGGAGGACCCGAGAGTGGCCATGATGGCACCCACCTGTAACCACAGCACAGCATTTAGTGTGCGGAGGTAAAAAGAACGGGAATGAAAGGCTCAGATTACAGGTGTGTGGCGCCATGTTTGAGTTTCTGCAGAGTAGGTGATGGAAAGTAGTGTCTGGTCCATGCTAGGTAAAAACCCTCTTCTGACTGAGCTATGCTCCTCATGCTTCGTTTCAGACAGGGTCTTGCTATGTAGCACAGGACTGTCTTGAATTTAAGCTCTCTCTGAATGAACTGCCCGAATACTGGGATCTTAGGTGTCTGATACCATGCCCAGCCCAAGGAGGAAACTTTCAAGCAATAATTATACTGGAAACCATTTTTGTAAGCACATATAACATGATATATGGCTTCTTTGTACATTCATTCTGCTAACTTGTTTTTAAACTCATGAAAATAATCATTAATGCAAATAAAAGCCAAGTTTTCAAAGAAGCAAAAAAGACACAAAAGGAAAGCCTAGTTAAATGAACATGATACATAAAATTTGGGGGGTAGAAAGTAGAAAGCATTGCACTTACCTCTCCATTCAGATTAATTAGCTCATTTCTCTGCTGTTCCTGAGCTAGTAAGTATTCAGTCGTTTCTCTTATTGTAGAGAATCTGGCATTCATCATAAAGGGTTAAAATTCAGAAAAATAATTTTCACTACAACATATCATTGACAGATTATTTAACATTTGTGAATGATTTACTTAATTTTATGTATGTATGCATCTCTGTCAGAGTATGCGGATGTGTTGATACATGTTCCTGTATACACAAGGAGATGCCAGAAGGTGGCACCAAGTGTTCTCCACAATCACTTTCCACCTATGTTTTCAGCCAGGTCTTTACCTGATACTGGGGCTCACATTCTCTTGACTAGTCTGGAAGCCAGCATGCCCCAGTGACCAGTCTTGTCTCTCCCCATTTCAGCAACTGGCTACAGGTTTGGTTAGGACACCTGGTTTGTCATGTGGGTATTGGTACATCAAGTGCTCTAACTGCTAAGCTATCTCTATGGCCCCCTATTTAACATTTTTAAGGAGAACATTACAAATGAATTCTCTTTACTGAAACGTAGAATAATCAGTTATTAGCTGTATGCTACATCTAAGAAACTTGCAAGTAAATGGATGGAATTAGGAAATATACCAAGTGAAGTAACCCAGACCCAGAAAGATAAATGCTGCATGTTCTCTCTTTTTTGTGGATCCTCTTAATCCTTCAAGGAGAATATATAACCTGGAATAACCTCGGGAACTAGGAAAGTACAAAGGGACCATAGTGGGAGGAGTTAGGTGCTCTAGAGAGGTGTAGAGTAGGACACTGGTGCTGTGAAAGGAAATATGAGAAAATAGGTTAGGAATTTAACTGGAATTTGGGCAGGAAATACAGAGGGAGAAGAAGGATGGAACAATAGTTAACACTAAGAATGTTTAACAAAGTCATAGGAAAACAGTAATTTTTGTTTACTTAAAGTATTTACAATACACACAAACATGTGTTTAAACATATGTATGTAGTTTGAATGAAGTTATGCTATTCTAAGTGCCAATGCTCCCCACAAGGATCATAGACAACCTAACAAAATCCCAGTGCTAGGCATGGGAAACCTCCCTTTCAATGGTTGGTCCTGGAAGTAGAAGAGACTCCCAAAACAATACAGGCTAGTGCTGTTGCCCTTGTTTGCCTTGCTTACCTTGAAGGTAACCCTACTACTGAAGACAGCATACACTTTAGACAGTGGTTTTGGAGGAAATGAGCTACTCCAAGATACATCTGCTGGGCTGAGGTTGTGGTTCAGAAGTAAATCACTTGTCTAACATGCAAAAGGCCTTCGGCATAATTTCTAACAGCAACGAGAGAGCGAGAGAGCGAGAGAGAAAGAGCGAGAGAGCGAGAGAGTGAGAGAGAGAGAGCGAGAGAGAGAGAGAGACAGAGAGACAGAGACAGATGCACAGAGACACACGGACAGACAGACAGACACAGACACAGACAGAAATACACATAAAGAAGAGGGGGGGGGAGAGAGATTGATTGAGATTATTTGTCTGCTAAAGACTTGTAGGACTCCTTAGGAAGGATATAAAGGAAGGAAACAAATTTATTACCATTAGTTATATCTTATCGATTTAGCACAGTTTGTCAGTACATTACCTTGCCTACTAGTTTGGAAGATGCAAAAGAACTAGATACTAAGTGAACATACTTTGGTTATTGGATAGGCCTCATCGGAAAGGTCAGAAACTGGGAAACAAACTTGGGTAACTGCATGTGCATGTCAGTTGATACCATGAACCACATAATTAGAACAGTTTGAATTGGAACAATTTCTGAATTAAGAAAATACACACTTTGCTATTAAGATACAGAAATAGAAAACATGCTTATACATTTCCTTATCATTCAAAACATTGTACTAACATTGATAAAGTACTAATTTTGCTTTTACCTGTCAATTTCAGGTTCAGATTCTGGTGATGATTGGATTCTTCCAAATCTTTCTGCTTGACCACGATATCTCTCTTCATGACTGCGAGATCTCCATGTATGGTTGTTATGAGCTCTCCCTCCATGGCCATCATTAGCTCTCCTAGCATGGTCATGATGAGCTATCCCTGTGTGGTTAAGACGAGCTCTCCCTCTGTGGTCATGGTGACCTAACCCTTCATAGTTAAGATGAGCTCTCTCTGTGTGGCCAAGATGAAACCTACCTGAATGGTCATGATGAAACCTACCTGAATGGTCATGATGTGGTCTATCTGGATGGTCATGATGTGGTCTACCTGGGTGGTCATGATGTGGTCTACCAGGGTGGTCATGATGTGGTCTACCAGGGTGGTCATGATGTGGTCTACCTGGGTGGTCATGATGTGGTCTACCTGGGTGGTCATGATGTGGTCTACCTGGGTGGTCATGATGTGGTCTACCTGGGTGGTCATGATGTAGTCTACCTGGGTGGTCATGATGTGGTCTACCTGGGTGGTCATGATGTGGTCTACCTGGGTGGTCATAATGTGGTCTACCTGGGTGATCATAATGTGGTCTGTCTGGGTGATCATGATGAGGTCTTTCCGGGTGATCATGATGAGGTCTGTCTGGGTAATCATGATGAGGTCTGTCTGGGTGATCATGATATGATCTACCTAAATAGTCATGATGTGGTCTACCTGAGTAGTCACGATGTGGTCTATCTGTATGGTCATGATGCAGTCTATCTGGGTGGTCATGATGTGGTCTATCTGGGTGGTCAAGATCTGGTCTATCTGGGTGGTCATAATGTAGTCTACCTGAATGGTCATGATGTGGTCTATCTGAGTAGACATGATGTGGTCTATCTGAGTGATCATAATGTGGTCTATCTGGGTGGTCATGATGTGGTCTATCTGGGTGGCCATGATGTAGTCTATCTGGGTGGTCATGATGTAGTCTATCTGGGTGGTCATGATGTAGTCTATCTGGGTGGTCATGATGTACTCTATCTGGGTGGTCATGATGTGGTCTATTTAAGTAGTCATGATGTGGTCTATCTGGGTGGTCATGATGTGGTCTATATGGGTGGTCATAATGTGGTCTATCTGGGTGGTCATCATGTGGTCTATCTCGGTGGTCATGATGTGGTCTATATGGGTGGTCATAATGTGGTCTATCTCGGTGGTCATCATGTGGTCTATCTGCATGGTCATGATGAGATCTATCTGAGTAGACAGGAGCTCTCCTAAAGTGGCTATGAGATCTTCTGGAGTGGGGGCCATGAGATCTGATAATATGGCGGCCACGAGATTGGGAGTGGCCATGAACTCTCCTGAAGGAAACTTGATTTCCTTCTATTTGTAGCTGTCTCTCTTCTGATTGGTTTCCATTCCACTCTGATCGATCTTCACTGTTATCATGCCTCATCTACAAAGGAGTCCAATTACATAATACAAATGAGACAGATAGTCCATGATTTGATTAAGTCATAAGGATATTTTAAAACCATTCCTTCCCTCCTTCCTTCCTTCTCCCATTCCTCCATCCCTTCCTCTCTTTTAAGATAGGATCTCACTATATATAGGTTAGCCTGGAAGTTGAGATTCTCATGAATGCTTGAATAAGCTTGTGCCAGTACACCCAGGTTCTCAAAACCATTTCTATCAGTGACTTTCTCCTAGAATTATACTATGACTACCTTTTTTATATACTAGTTTCCAGATGCAACTTAAAGACCTAAGTCTGATGTACTATGTCACTTGCACAAAGATGTTAATACAATGTAACATAAAAATATGAAAAATTAGCTGTCCCATGAGTTTTAATAATGAAACAATCAAGCCGGGTGGTGGTGGCGCACGCCTTTAATCCCAGCACTTTGGAGGCAGAGCCAGGCCTCTGTGAGTTCGAGGTCAGCCTGGTTTACAGAGCGAGATCCAGGACAGGCACTGAAACAACACATAGAAACCCTGTCTTGAAAACAAACAAACAAAAAAACAAATAATGAAACAATCAAACTATGCGACTTCATAATTGAGGAGAGTGTTTTTTTTCTTTTTGGGGGGGCAGGCGGAGTGGTCCAGGATCTTATGCTGGCCAGAAACTCACTATGTATCCAAGTGTAACCTTGAACTTCTGAAACTCCTGCTTCCACTTCAAGTGCTATGATTAAAGACACATACCACAACAACTGGTATTATGTGGTAATGAGGACTGAACCCAGATCTTTATGCATGCTAAGGTGAGTACTCTACCAATTGAACTATTTCCACAGCCCCAAGAGTGATAGAATATTTAATAATGTTTTGTAACACAACTTCTTTAGATCAAAGAAAAGCATTCCAAATTATTCTGTTGATTATTTCCCTGCCCAGTGGTCATTAAAAAAAACTATCTTTCAATAAAAAAATACTTAATTCTAAGGAGAAAAACAATCAAGTGGGAAGTATGCTACAGAGGAAGCAAAGTGTTGGCTTGATGCAGTTCAAATAAATGGATCAGGTAACAATTCAGCTATTCTATCCTTTCAGTTTTTAAACCAAAAGTCCTGTATAGTGAATCATCAAAAAGGAAATAGTGAAAACTTTGACAAATGTCTATGATGTCCGTAAGTGTAAATAAATAGTCATATGGACTGTGCTAAGAAAGCAAGCTGTAAACTAGTATATGTGGTTTAGCAAGGAAAGCATCCCTTATATTTGGAATTACCATGTCCTGCGACAACACTGATAAATGCTGGAAGTAATTGCTAAATCTGAGGCAGGTACTAGCACGAAGAATATTATGTGTACACAACTTGACTAAAATAAAAGTATGAAAGATCAGCTGACTTGCTATAGGCTAAATCCATAGCCGTTCTCCAGTATTTCTATTGAAAACATGAGTAAGTATATTAGGTAGAATACCCATGTTAACTTTTTCATTTTAAGTGACTAGTGTTGGGAGAACAGTGAGTCATCATGAAAGACAGGATTGAGGCACATCTCCTGAAGACCCTTTTAACAGAGTTTCCAATATTTTCATAAATGTTTATATAAGGAATATTTTCTGGGCTGGGGTTGTAGCTCAGTGGTACAGTACATGCTAAGTATGAGCAGGGCTGTGGTTCCCATCTGTTTTATCCCAAGAAATTATTTACATCAAGTTAGGTACTATAAGATTCCTAAATTTAAGAAATAAATACTATTAAGAAAAAAGTAAATACTTAAGAAATAAATAATTTTAAAGGTTTAATATATATATATATTAACCTTATATATATAGAGAGAGTTGTGTGTATATGTCCATGGTGTGTGTGTGTATATATGCCATGGTGCGCATGTGGAAGTCAGAAGCCAACTTTGCATGAGGCTACTTCTTTCTTCCACTTCTACAAGGGTCCCAGAGATCCAACTGGGTTGGCTAGGCTTGTGTAGCAAGCACCTATACCATTTTCTATTCCTATTTGCAAGCACAAACCTATTGAAAACAATTATATAGACAAGGTGTAATAGCTCATGCCTATAATCCCAGCACTTGAAAGGCTGAGGCCACATATGTGTGCGTTCCCAGAGAGGCTTGAAGAAGGACCACAGCCCCTGGATCTGGAGTTATAGGATGTTGTCAGCTATGTGATGTTGCTGCTGAGGATTGAACTTGGGTTCTCTGGAAAAGCAGCAAGGGCTCTTAACCATGAAAACGTCACTCTAGTCTTAATTTCTGGTTTGTGTAATTAATTTTTAAGGCTATTAAAATATTTTTACACTATAACTTAAGATCAAAGGTTGTATGAGGACAAAAATGAGACTAATTATGTTGGATAAATGATACAGTCACCAGCAATCTATTTTTTATATTTTATAAATTCAAAATTCCTGATAATGATTGAAAATAAAAATAAAATGTTTATTATAATAGTTTCAGGGACAATAAGTTAGCCAAAAACACCAAATTTAAATTAAATACATACTAGCATGGAAAAACCTAAGAAGAAATCTCTGATTTCAACAGAATTGAAAATTATTCTTATTATTACAAAATATGTTAGCTAAGCATGATGTTTAGAATGAGAGTGACCCCCATAGGCTCCTATATTTGAATGTTTCATCCCCAGTTATTGGAACTGCTTGGGAAGTGTCTTGTCAGGGTCTCTATTACTGTGAAGAGACACCATAATCACAGCAATTCTCATAAAAGAAAGCATTTAATTGGGGGTTGGCTTAAAGTTCAGAGGTTTAGCACTGTCATCATGGTGGGGAACAAGGGGGCACACAAGCAGACATGGTGCCGGTAGAAGGAGCATGGAGTTCTCTATCTAGTTTGGCAGGCAGCAGGAAGAGAGAGTGATGCCGGGCCTAGCTTGAGTATCTGAAACCTGAAAGCCTGTCACATGACAAACTTCCCCCAACAAGGCCACACATACTAATAGTGCCACTCTCCATGAGCTTATGGGGGTCACTTTCATTCAAACCACCAGAGGAAGAATTAGGAGGCACTGCCTTGTTGAAGATGTGTCACTTGGGGTGTCTTTGAGATTACAAAAGCCCATGCCATTTCCAGTTAGAACTCTCCCTCTACCTCATGCTTGTGGATCAGATGAAAACTCTCAACTACTGCTCCAATGTCATGCTTGTCTCTCTGCTGTCACATTCCCACCATGATGATTATGGATGCTAACCCTCTGGAACCATGAGCTCCAATAAACTCTTTCTTTTCTAAGTTGCTTTGATCATGGTGTTTTGTCACAGGAAGAGAAAAGTAACTAAGACACTCAACATGAGCATAGTCCCAGCACTCTGGAAGACTGAGGCAGGAGGAACATCAAAAGTTCTTTGCCATCTTAGGCTACATAGTATTAAATAATACAGTAGTTTGTCTTATACAGCAAGACCTTGTCTCAAAACACACACACACACACACACACACACACACACACACACACACACACACACACACACACACACAGAGAGAGTTAAAAAGGAACAATGTTACATTTCAGACTCTTGATTTCTGTTAACATTTGGTGTTCACTTACCAGATGATGTGAAGGCTGATTTTCTGAAAGTCTTTGTCCAAAAAAATTCCCGTTTCTTCCCCTATGGCCACCTCTGAATCCTGTATATTATTTTGACAAAAATTATTTTCTGTATTTTCATCACTGAATTCAGTAACTTTCAGAATCAGTTTTTAGAAGCTTGGCCTTGGTATGGAAAACATCTCCTCTTTCATCATTCTGACAGTGTCCAATTGTCTAACTGAATTCTATAACAGCTTTTGCCATCCTATCTATACTTACTACTTGGAAGGGGAAATCTTCATTTTACACAGTAGTTAAGGTTTCGTTGTGTATGGTACAAAGGTTGAGACATATCTGGAATCAAATAAAATAATATGCCAGCATAAAAAAGGAGAGATGGGAAAAATGATGTTTTTAATTAATCCTATCAATATTTTCCTCACTATCTACTTTGTTTTGGGTATAGAGATAGCTTAGGAAATACTTATAAAATATGATCTGGGAATGTAGCTCAGTGGGCACATTGCCATCTTAGCACACACAAAATCCCTGAGTTTGATCTCCAATACAACATAAAACTCAGTGTGCCGACACGTATCTGTAGTCCTGGCACTTGACAGGTAGAGGCAGAAAAATCAGAAGTTTAAGGTTATCCTTGGTTTCACAGTGAATGAGAAACTAGCCTGTAGTACATAAGACTCTATCTCAGAAAAATAAATTAATTAAAAAAATAAAAATCTCTGAAAAGCTTTAAAGATCAGTTTTGTGTTTTACTGGGAAATACACGAGAATAGACTTTCTTACCTGTCTTAGCTGTATAGCCCCTACAATAACTGCTCTCTCTGTTTCTCATTAGAGGCTGAACCACTGAAAGATTCATATGAAGGCTGCAATAAATTTGGGTAAGCTTGCAGAGGCTTGTAATATGCACCATGTTAAGATGATGCTAAACTGTTGAGTAGATCAGAGACCCTTAATTGTTGGAAATACTTCTTTACAATGACAATCTGTATAGTGTGTTCATATTAAAATATGGTCACTACTCTAAACAATGATGTTATGGCTAGAGGAGACATTCTTCACATTCTACTTCATTCTCTTTACCAAGTGACATTCCTTTATAACAACATGTGGTTGTTAGAGTGGTTAGGTTATTGATCCGCTTATTTTCTCACCCTGCTCTCCATTAGAAAAGTAACTCACCAATTAATCATTTCTCTCATTTGACCCAGAATAAATTCTTCCCAACCCTGTACAAGCCCATGTCCGAGAGAAATGAAGCATGTAACACAACACAACATTAGAACACTGGAAGTTCTAGAAGCTGCATGTTAGTTTTTACCATGTGTGCTTTTTTTAAAAAATATACTTTACCTCTCCCCCAATGATGCATAGGGGTAATGGTTCGCTCTCTGGAGCTTGGTCTCTGTATGTCATTCTCCTCATGGTATTCTTCTTCAGTGTCAGAGGATTCTAGATGTCTATGGAGTCCAATTTCATCTGCACCAGAAATTACAGGAAAAATGAAGAAAATGGAAAAAGTCAAATGACAATTTATCTGTTCTTAGCCACAAATCTACATCATACTTCAGAACATATAGAACAACCATTACCCCTTAAAAAAACTCCTAACACTAGAATAGTAGTAAATTTGGAAAACCACAGCAATAGCAAACAGAATTATAGGCAGTGGTGAAGCATCCAGCTTCCATGTGGTAAATGAACCTCTGGTCCTTTGAAAGAGCAAGCACTCTTAAAAAAAGTTAAACTTTTTTCAAAAATTAAGTCTTTAAGAATTTCATACAATCGATTTTGACCATATTCACCTTCCTCCCCCAACTCCTCTCAGATCCATCTCCTATTTCTTACCCACTCACCTTTGAGCCCTCCTATTTTCAAATTTCCTCAACTCCAATCTGAGCTGCCCATACACTCTTGGGGATGTAGCCATCCACTTGAGTGTGAGTGACATGCTAGGGCCATACCCTTAAAGAAAACTGACTCTCTCCCTCCAGGCAGCTATCAACTGCCAATAGAAATTGCCCATCTCTCCCCACCATGCTGGGAATTCGTCTGGCCTGAGGTACTGTGCATGCTGTCACAATCATTTCTCCAACTCCACGAGACTTAGCAAGTTCTAAAAGGAGGCTCATTGAGACTCAGGCGGTAAATCACTCAGAAAACCCTTGAAATTGACCAGATAGATGTACAAGGCCCTCTCACCCAGTGTTATATAAACAGTAGGGACTGCTGAGGAGACCTGGACTGGGTTAGCCAAGCTACTGTGGAGTTGTTGAGCTGACTGCAAGTTTGCAGTAATTTTCAGGGTTCCAGCATTCCTAAACTGTCATCGATGTTAGGGTGGAATTTCTGTGATGCAGCTGCTTTTGAGCCATCCCTTCTGCTGTGAGTAATCTCTCATTAGTACTTTAATTAGTAACTCCAATGAACTTATTGGTTCATCGCACTGAACTTCAGTGCTATCTTTATTTTAGCCTGTTGTTGGTTCCCTGTATGTGGTGACTATGTTTTGTTCATGATTCCCTAGGATTTAAGTCACAAAGCAGTGTGTGTGTGTGTGTGTGTGTGTGTGTGTGTGTGTGTGTGTGTGTGTGTGTAGGTGCACATGTGTGGAAGTCAGAGTACAACGTCATTGTGTCTGCCCCCACCTTTCACCTTGAGACAGGGTCTGTTATTTGTTGTGCATGTCAGCCTAGCTGGCCCTTCGAGCTTCTTGGGATTTCTCTATCTCTGCCTCTCATGTTGCTGTGATTATAGATTTGTGCTATTATACAGAGATTTATGCAGATTATGGATATTTAAACCTAGGTTCTGATGCTTGCCAGGCAAGTGTTTTATCCATGGAGACATCTTCCCAAATGTTTTCCTTTTTTTTTTTTTTCCAGCTTGTTTGTTTGAGAAAAGATTTTGTTATGTAGACCAAGCTGGTCTCAAGGAGCACTTAACTTATCCATGATTCTTTAGTGCTGGGGTTATAGGCATGTGCCAACATACTTAGTAAGTTTCCATAAATAACATGAAGCTTCTCCATCAAACGGATTCATGATAACTTCATTTACAAGCACACAAACAAACAAACAAACAAACAAAAGGCTTTCAGGTCATAGTAGCTCAATAGAGACCATTTAAATAATGCTTTTACCTAGTGTTATTTTAGTTTCAGAGAAATAGCATCATTCCTGAGTAAATAAATGCCAATGTAAGACAATTAATTACATATATTTTCTTGAACACAAGTTGGACAGGAGATAATACTTTGTAATCAGTAGTCTCCCTTATGCACTCAGGGAGAGAACACTTACATAGTTAAAGGCTCTCCATGGTGTCACTTGCCCCAGACAACTTAAGACACCTGACGTTTCAATCGAAACACACTCCAACACATATCACTCCCTTTATATCAGAAGTAAAATATATAAAATTGCTACCCAAATACCATGTAACTGAATGTTTACTTTTCAGCTCATCCATAACTTCATAAAAAAACAAGTTCAGTCTTCGTGACACCCAGTCAGTACCAAAGTAGCCCTATAACTTTAAAAATCCTTTTTTTTGAATAGAATATATGGTTTTATTTTCCCATCAGTTTGGCCTAATTTCAAGTAAGACATGAATCCCTAATAGTATGAATGAACAAACATTAAAACAAGAGTACAGAACGATAGTGGTGCTATGGAAAGGAAAACGTCCACACTTCAGATGGGATGAGCATCATTTTCCCCAACAGAATATTTTTATTATTTGTTTGGGAATTTCATACAATGCACCCTGATCACACTTGATTCCCATTCTCCCAAGATCCATTCTCCCACCCTTGTGCCCTCCTCCCAAAAAGAAAAAACATACACCAAGATCAATTTGTGTTGCCCATATACTCACTGGAGTATGGTCAAGCTCCCAGTGGCCAGCCCCTTAAAGATAACTGAGTCCTTCCCCACCCCACCCCTATAGAAGCCATCAACTGCAAAGATCTTCACTTCAGCAGCTCTGCCACACTTTTAAAGGACTCTTTTCAATGTATTCCTGTATAGACTGTTTCTATTTTTTTTTGGGGGGGGGGGAGTGTTTGTCACCAAAGCCTTCAATGTCTCTCATTCTCAATTATGAGTCTGCAGTCATCGGTACCACTGCAAAAGAAGCTTTCTTGCCCATAACAGCCAAAGGCAGCAGGGATCATGGACTTCCACATGGTTTCTGGTGATAGCACAGATCACAGACACCAACATGGCACTCGATGGCAGCACAGACAATGGACATCCACATGTCCTCTGTGGTAACATGGACCATGAACATCAACACGGTCTTAGGCAGCAGCCCAGCATTGCTGAGGCCATGTTAATATCTGTGGTCTGTGTTACCACCAGAGGCCATGTTGGAATCTGTGCTCTGTGCAGCCACCGGAGGTCATGTTGATGTTCATGCTCTGTGCTGCTGCCTGAGGCCACGTTGCTGTTTGTGGTCTGTGCTACTGATTGTGGCCAGGTCAATGACAGTGGTCCGTGTTGCCACTGGTATGAGCTTTTAATACGAGCATCTAGGAGATTCATTTCTAACAGGATGACTGCTGCAGTCTGATGACTGCTGTAGTCTGTATTCAACAAATGGTTAGATGGTTCACATCCACTACCTGGTTAAAAGCATCAAGATGTTTGGACTCATACTAATTGGTCTAGAAGAGAGAAGGCAGATACATACTCTGAAATCCACCCAAATATATAAAAGACAGAACCTCTTGATTTGATAACACCTTATATTGTTACTTATTTATCCTTAATCTAAGGCTGTATACCACCTGGAAAAATAAAAGGTGATGGTATTTAGGTTTTCTTCAAAATGGTTACTGTTTTCACTTAATTTAGATCTATAAGCAACAGTACTGGCTTTTCTATAAAGTACCATCATCATGTAATATGGGATCAGCTTTTTAAAAATTATTTTTTTCTCTCTCTATGGTGTGTGTGTGTGTGTGTGTGTGTGTGTGTGTGTGTGTGTGTGTGTGTGTGTGTGTGTATGCTTGTCAAGGAACAGAGGTCCATGTCTGGTGTCATCTTCAATCATTTTCCACCTTGGTTTTTGAGACAGCATCTCTCATTCAAACTGGAACTCACTGACTTGGCTTCCCTGATTATACAGAAAGCCCAAGATCTTCCTGTCTGTGCCCTCCCCTTCACCAGTGCTAGGATTACAAGTACACCATCATATCCAGGTTTTTATGTGTGTCAAGGATCCAAAATCAGGTCCTCATGTGTGTGTGGTAAGCACTTTACTAACCGACCCTTCTCCCAAATTGCTGGGCTCCATTTTAATGGCACATCACATGTTAAAAGGAAATTCAATTTCCTCTGGTATTTTTCCATTTTGGTATATTTATTTCACTATTTAATTTCAGGTAAAGAAGTCACTTGTGCCAGGGAAGACATACATACAGTGCAGAAGGGAACATCTCCATAGAGGATAGAAAGACAAGCACCACAGTAGACAACAGCAGTATGTCTGGACAGTCTATCACACAAGGAAATGAAAATGGTGAAAAGCTAGAAAGGACATGAGAATTTTAGGCTTGAAAATAATCACTCCCAAATTTTGTTTCATTTCCACCATCTCCTAAGTCACCTTTCCTGAAATCAGACTAAAATTCAGTTAGCCAAAATGTAGTCAGAATCACTCTGAATTTGCAACAGAGACACCAGTTGGGAAAAACTAAATCTTCCATTTTGCAGATGAAAAATCAGAAACTCCAGAGAGTGCACACCACCAGGTTTATCAGCACATGCGTGCAACACCAGCACTTGGGAAGCCGAGAAAGGAGAATCAGGTATTAGGAGACAACCTTGGGTAAATAGGGGGTTTGAGACTACCCTGGACTACATAAAACTCATGTCTCAAGAAAACAAAACAAACAAACAAAAATCAAAGAAATAGCCAAACCTAACCAAATCCAAGAGGGGAAGTGGTATGTCAAAGGTGGCTAATGATAGAATTAAAATTAGAACATAAATCCCTTGAACATTCAAAAGTCATGCTAATGTACCACTGTAGCAGGGCTGGTAAAGGATTGCAACTTCTTCAGGTAATCCCTGGCTAGTGTTCGGAAATGTCTGAAGATGTAACTTCCAGGGGAAGGAATTTTCTTCCAGGGAAAGATTCTGATATTGTGTCTCACAGTTAAATCTATATATGCATATGTACTTGTGTTTGGTTTACAATTTAGAGAAAATGTACATTACATAAAAGAAAAGAGAGCCCACCCAGTTCTGGCTCAAACGATAAATAAAACCATTTACTATTACAAACTCCTAGCACCGTGTTTGTTTGTTTCTTAAATACAGGGGCAAGTAGTGGATTTGATGTGACTGATAAAGTATTGAAGAGCCTCAGCCAGGACAAAGAGCCCAGATCTTGAGACTTCTCTTGGCAAGTCTGCCCCACGGTTAGAAGCTGGGCACATTTCAGCGGCTGCAGGGTCATATCTGAGGTCC